TGCATGTATAAGCATACACTCTCTCTCCAGATTAAGGACCTAAATGCAAAAGCAAAATTATAAGCACATTGAAAAACATAGAATATGCTTATGACCTTAAAGAGGGCCTTTTACAAAAATGAAAAGGTTTACAGAGTACTTTGATGAAAATCCATGTTCTCACCATTGCTTACGAAACAAAAGCTCAGGCTTTTATTCAATTTTTATTGTTACAAATATAATTGAAGCCATATAAATAGTTCTTGCCCTTAAGAAGTCCAAAGTTCACAGACATAGAATATTCACAAAGTGCCATGGGAGCACAGAAAATACCCAATTCAGACAGGAGACAGGAGTACCTAGTCATAAAATAAGGGTGGGGGTTTCCTAGACAGAGAAAATAGCACGCACATGAGCTATACATCATATTTGACTCTAATTGTCAAGTGAAGATTACCAATGGCAAAATCCCAGAGCATGCCAGTCTAACCAGAGCTATGCTATCTGAAACATAGTTCTGATGAACTATGTTTGCACTGGGGGGATGGGGTTGAGGGTAATATATAAAACAGAACAAAACAAGATTGTGCAGATCAATCAACCTTAGAACAGAGGATAAAACTGATTACTTAAAAAAAAAATAATGAAAATTTGGAGGCAGAACATTCCAATTTTAACAGAGCAACAGATTTACAGTGCTGAAAGGAATGTATCTCCTGCTCTGGATATATCTATATACTATAGCCATATTTCAACCAATACAGCTCTCTTATTCATGATTACTTAGCTAATCTCTTATTAAATCTTACCAAGATATACTAGATAGCCACAGAGTAAAAAAGGAAGAGATTGTAGCTATTTTGACTATATCACAAGTATTTCTAAAGCCTTTCACACACTTTCTATACAACCAGATAATGCAGTTGAATTATTTACTTTATCCTCTTTCTTATCTCCTTTGCTGAATTCCCTGCTAGCTTTTATCTCCCGGCTATGAAGGTACCCAAAGAGAAAGTACTGGGCATAGACTTTTCTTTTTAAATACCAACTTCTTTGAAGACATATGACTTTAATTATCTTCAAACAAAATAATTTCCAAAATTCTGGCTTGGATTTTTCTTTTAATTTCAGTTACATTTCATCTTCTTAGGTATTCTCTGATTCATATCGATTTAAGAAGTCTAAAAACAGTACACACATATATACATGCTCATGAACACATATACACATAAATGCATATCCACTTTTTAAAAAGTCACAGGGACTTACCATTTTTCCTTATCTACAAACAGCTCATTCTCTTAAATCGCCTAAGTCAATGGAGTTCATCGTTTCTCTCATCTACCCAGTACATTTTAGCTTTTCTCAGTTACAAATCTTATCCCGTCTTCTTTCCCATAATGTCTTCCCCATCTGTCTCTTCTTTTTACCCTCTACCACAAACTAACCTAATTTGGACATCAATCACCTCAATAATTTTAAGTGTTCCTGCTTCCAGTCTCTTTCCTCCCTCCCAAACATTCTGAACACTGTTGGTGGATTACCCTCTCTAAAACACAACTTCAAACCCGTCATTCTTTTCCTCAACAGCTTTTTAAAAGGTGAATAATAATGCCAAATATTTTAACTATTTAAGAACCTAAAATTTTGGCCTTGGCGTGCCTATCCAAACTATCTTTTCCAATATTCAAGTTTCTCCATTCTTTAAAAAAAAAAAAAAAAAAAAAATCCTTTCTTCAGACTTCTCTGTCAAGATACTCTACTACTATACTTCTAGAGAGAGCTGCTTGCAGTTGGAAGCAATCTGGCTATTACTCCAATCATGCTGAAATTATTTTTGTAGTTTCCAAATTGCAAAGCAAATATTTAAGCTCCTCATTTTGCCTGACCACACCATGCCATTCATAATTCAGTCTTAGCTTTCATCACTCTCTACTAACCATCCCTATAGACTCAGGAAACCACTAGACTTCCTCTAACATACCTTGTTCTTTCAGTTTGTGCTTCTACATATGTTATTCCTTGCCTCTACAATGCCTTTCCTGAGTCTGCTGTGCACTACAAACTGCTTATGAAATATCATCTCTTCTATGGAATTTCCCCCCACTTCACAAACATCTTTGCTGTCAGTGTACTCTTTCATGCTGCGCTAACAGGATTCAGAACACTGCACAATAACTGTTTCACATACCTTGATATTCTCAGAATCTAACATAGTTTGAGGCACCTACTGGACAATTAAGGGTGGGTTTTTAAAGACCTTCTGGTATGATCTTATTATTCTATCTACTCACGACTACTCAAGTATACTGTTTATGAAGAGGCAGTATGTATCATGGTTAAGAGCTCAGATTCTAAAGCCAGGCTGTCTACCTATGAGTTTTAGATCTACCACATAGCTCTGCAAATTAATTAACCTTCTTGTGCCTGGGTTTCCCTATATGTAAAAAAAAGGATTATTATCCTATTATTATTAGACCTACTTCATAATATTATGAGGATTAAATGCCTTAATATGGGCAAAGTGCTCAAAATAGTGACTGGCATAAAATAAGCACTAAATATATATTGTCTGTTTTAGTTAATAGGCCTTAGTTATTGCTGAACCTTTCCACAAACTAGTCCTGCATTATGTTCTATATTCTCTATTCCATATGATGTCCTCTATTCTCTATTATGAATGGGCTCCCTTCATTTTTCCCTTTATCCAAATCTTACCCAGGTTTCAAGGCTAACTTCTGGTAAATCCTTTGCTCATTCCAATCCTTCATTCCCTAATTTCAGTATCTACAGCATTTTCTGCATCACTCTGCATTTAATTAAAACTGCTTTACATCCTTGTAGTTCTTCTCATATAAGTTTGTCGATCCAATTGTTATAAACTCTTTGAAGATCCTGATGACACCTCCTGCACCTCTGTGAGTTCCTGTTGCTTAGTATTTGCTGTGTAAAATAATAAAGCACAATAGGAATCTCAACTCTGATCATTCTGCCTTTGCAATCAAATGAAGAGTGAAGGCTGTGAGAACATTCCATGCTTCTTTAGGAGCCAAGCTGCAAATGTATTAGGGCAAGGAAATTCTGACTCCCATTAAAATTAACAGCTCTGACATGAGGGAGGGGGAAACCCTCCCTGCCACTGTAGAGGATTTATGGGTAGCCCTTAAGTTCCCAAACCAAATTGTAGCACTGGATTTTTTTTTGTTTTTTTTGTTTTTTTGTTTTTTTTTTTAATGAGAAATGACAAAATGATTGAGAGCACAGGATTTGGAGTCACACACAGATCTGGGTTTCAGAGGACTCCAAGCCTGTTTCCTTCTCTATAAAGTGGACATTTTAACACCTGCTTCACGGGTATTTAACATGCACCGGTATTTAACATTCACTCTAACAAAACTGAAGTGCAAAGCCTTGGAAACAAATTTAAATAAATAATACTGCAATTCACAAATAACAGTGAGAACAACATTTTTAGTTAGTAAGAATAAATGTGGTGGCAGTATTTATAATAGTCTAAATTGCCTGTGAGAAAATTAAACTAGTATTTTCAATAACACATACTTAAGATGAGGGAAAAATCCCACCACAAAAGTTTGTCCTTTTTGACACTTTCTCCTTCCTGCCCAATTTTTCTTTTTTTTTTTTTCTCCCTGAGGCGGAGTCTGGCTCTGTCACCCAGGCTGGAGTACAGTGGTAGGATCTCGGCTCACCGTAACCTCCGCCTCCCGGGTTCAAGTGATTTTTCTGCCTCAGCCTCCCGAGTAGCTGGAACTACAGGCGTGTGTGTGCCACCACGCAGGACTAGTTTTTGGTATTTTTAGTAGAGATAGGGTTTCACCTTGTTAGCAAGGATGGTCTCGATCTCCTGACCTCGTGATCCGCCCGCCTCGGCCTCCTAAAGTGCTGGGATTACAGGTGTGAGCCACCGCGCTCGGCCAATATTTTTCTTTCACTTAATATTTTTTAAAAATGTTCAAGATTATCCCCAAAGAGAAATAGTTTAAAAGCACAATTTAATAGCAAGTTGGTTCTGTAAGTTCATAGTTCAAAAATACTTCCAAGTAGGAATTAACATGAATTTAAGAAATTAACATAATGGCTAACAGCTGAACTGATGATCTGAGTAATTTCAATTAAGAGTTGTTCCAACTTGAAGCTGGCAGTCACACACAGTCTAAAGGGTTTGTTTACAGCACTGACAAAACTAAATACCCCAATCTTTCAGAAAATTCACCCTGGCATTCTAATAACTAGTTATTTTAAGGCAGTATAATTGTTGAAATACTTCACGAACTGAGCCAAAATGCGTTTCCTTCTGAAGGCAAAAAAAAAAAAAAAAAGTGACAAGCCTTATTTTTGACCTGTGATTTTTTTTTTTTCAGTTTCGGATTATGAAATAAAATGCTGTTCATCCACTGAGGACATAATCGCTGCCTGGACTATCTTCAAGCTTAAGAGAGGAGGTAAAATTTTAAAAACAGATTTGTTCTCCTCGGGATACAGTAGGATGTGGGATTCATTAGGAATGCTAAGTATTAATAGAAGAGATCAAAAGAAGGAAAGAAACGTTAATGTTTACAAGCACTGTGAACTTTCAGCAATGCTGAAACCTTACGATTTAAAGATGAAAATACAGCTTTTGGGGAGGGAAATCCACCTCAAGGTAGAAAATGAAGAGTAAAGCGCGGACAGAACAGAATTTCAGGGGAGATGGAAAGGGTATTGCGGGAGTCATCATCCTAAGGGCGTTCTGCAGGGCGGGCGTAAGAGGGGTGCGTGCGCGCGCGTGGGTGAGGTTTGTACTCAAGGCTGAGATAATCGAGGTGACAAAGTTGTGGAAGTAGAATTCGGAGGTGCGGGAGCAGGGAGGGGAAGGAATGTGGGGATTTCCAGGCTGGGCTGACAAGTTCCGGGCGCTGCTCTCAGGGGGAAGGGAGGTCTCCTCGACTGCCAGAGAGTCCGTCCACAACCACCGACCCTCTCCCCGCCGCTACGCGGCCCAACACCCGGCCTCTTCTCACCTCAGGCCGCGCCGCCTCGATCCTCCGCGTCTCTACAGCACACGAACCCCTCGGCGCCAGGCTGGGCCAGACCCGTCGGCCTGGCAGGCGAGGCCCCCGGTTCAGCTGCGCCGAGGGAGCCCAGCGCTGCTTCGCCGGCCTTTTGGCTGCTCGCCTCGGCTTCGGAACGCTGGCGGTTCCTACGCCGCAGAGGTAGCGCACCGCCCCAGTCCCGCGGCGGGGCGGGGCGCCTCCAATCCCACCCGGCTGTGCCTCCCTCTGCGCCCCGCCCCCGACCAGGACCTAGGCGCTGATTGGCCCCTGCGAGACCCTTTGCGCCAAGGCATTGGTCCAGCGGCCACCCGTCGACGAGAGGGCGGGACTCCGGGGGGTAGCGATTCCCGTAACGCGGCTCCCCGCGTCCCGGATTCCGGTGGCTGAGCCCGCGTCTCCTCTCCTAGACAAGATCGAAGGGTTCCCCCCACCTCCCCTCTGTGGGCGGAAGGAGCGGAATGTTCCATTTTTCCGTGGAATAACGGGGTCATGAACTGAAGCCCGGGTGCTGCCCGCTGCCCCCGCCCTCCATTCTCGCCTGGGCGCCTTCGGCCTCTCTTCGCGGCCTTCTCCTTGGTACTCAGAGCCGCGAGGGACCGCCTGGCTCTCTTGGGGACAGGGGAGGCACGGGAGCCTCTTGGGGAAAGTGAAGAGCTCGGTGGCCGTGACTCCACACGAGGCTGCGACAGATTGTGGCGGCGGCTTCGCTCCAAGTCTTATGTAAACGAAGCTTGCCACAGTATTTTTTTAAATTAGTAAATGAATTTGGGTGCGATTGATCAGTGAACCCCAGAGCTGTTGGCCCGCCAAGCGGCTAGTGTTTCTCTGCAGCTTGTACCTCCCCGTTTGTGGTTAAAAAAAAAAAAAAAAAAATACCGGGTAAAAACCTATTCATCTCCCCTCGTCTGCCCGCCTCCGTCCCCCACTTTCCCTCAGAAAATGGACCTAAAGATTCATGATGTTTGTTTTTCCCTGAAGCAAGATGAGAAGAGTTAAAAGATAAGACATGTGTGGGGGGGTGTGGGGGGGTGTGTGTGTCTGCTAAAGTAAAGAAACACCCAAAGGTAGAAGATTTTGTGGAAGAATGAGAGGATATAGGAAGGCAATAATGGTTAATGAACTTAAATTATATCTATAAATTAACAATTATAAGGTTCTTCATTATACTGAGGATTCAGATAGAGTAAAACGTAAATCGAATTACAGTCTCTTAGTTGTTGATCCGATAATTTATCAAAACGCAAAGTGGGCCTGCTAACGGAGTCCTAGGCAAGCTAGATGGTGTTGCAGCTAATGTGTTCAGCTCTTGCTGCTCACCTGCAGATCGTAACCAGATTGTATTCTGGCTTTGCCATTAATAGGGGTGTTTATTTTAAAACAAACTTTTATAAAAATGTGTTAAATTGAAATTTTTGTATAGATCCAGGAAACTTGATTTTTTTTTTTTTTAATTCAGAGTCTCACTTTGTCACCCAGGCTGGAGGGCAATGGCTGGATCATGGCTCACTGCTGCTACAAATTGCTGGGCTCAAGCAATCTTCCCACCTAAACCTCCCAAGTAGATCAGACTATAGGTGCCCCCTACCATACCTGGCCAATTTTTAAAATTTTTGGAGAGACAAGAGTTTGGTATGCCACCCAGGCTGGTCTTGAACTCCTGGCAGCAAAGGATCCTCCGGCCTTGGTGGCCTGCCAAAGTGCTGAGATAACAGATATGATGCAAAGGTGTATTTAGGGGAAATGTGTAGTGGTTAAATGTACCCTCTGGTCTAGATTGGCTAGGTTTAAATGCTGATGCTGCTATTTCCCATCTCTGTGACTTTGGGCAAGTCTTTTTAAGTCTCTTCATCTGCAAAGTGAGAATAACAATACCAACCTAATGGGATTGTTGCAATTATTAAATGAGTTAAAACACGTAAGTGCTTGGCACATAGTAGGTGCTCAGTATCAGCTATAATCATTGTTGAATGTCTACTCAGTCAACGCTTCTGAAATCTTTTAGTATCACAAAATATATTAAAAATGACATTTCACTGGACAAAGGAGGGCAGGTACACAGAAGGGAATTGATATCTCATAAGACACCAGCCTGCCTTGGCACTGTTAGGAAAACAAATGACTGAGTTTGTGCTTTTATGGATGTCTTTTTACTGGCTCAGCTCAGGTCCTGCTCCAAAGAAACTCACATTTTGTGGGGGTGATTAAAGTCTGAGGCCAAAAGGATGAATCAATATTGGAGAAAGATTTTTCAGAACAACAGGACAGGAGACCTCTGCTATGCTGGAATTACATGACTTTGCAGACATCTCTGTAGAGTATTGACCTTGAAATGACCAATTTCAGATTAAGAATTTGTTACTAGAGCCGGGCGCGGTGGCTCACGCCTGTAATCCCAGCACTTTGGGAGGGCGAGGCGGGTGGATCACGAGGTCAAGAGATCGAGACCATCCTGGTCAACA